CTCTACTACGAGTGACCCCGGGCCTTATATAGGGTTAACCTATATCTCTCCCCGCCCTACTCCTATAAACTGCCTCTTAAAGTAAACCTCTACCACGAGTGACCCCGGGCCTTATACAGGGTGAACATTACTTAATAAAAAAGAAAAATAATTATAATCATTCTTTTTGTTTCCATTTTTCTTTAGACTTTCTAGCTATGTTTAGTCTCAGCATCCTTCTGTAGGACCACCTTTTCTATTGACTAAAGTCTCCACTGATTCTGCGGGGAAATTGCCCAGCATTCACTGATATGAATGCTTAATACTGCAGAGCAGTTCAACACTCTTTTCTTTGTTTCTAACGAATTCTTTCCTGTTTCTTAATACTTTTCTTGTCTTTGAGAAGGAATCATTTATTTGTCAGCGGTGTTTTTTTAATCACCCCCCCTCCGGTCTTTATTATCATTTATCTTTGTTGCTATATTTCTTGATTAACACCTTGATTCAAAGCAATCAATAGCATACTTATCGTCAGGCTGACTCGTACCAATCACTTAACTATTTGTAAATTTCCCAGGATAAACAATTATGTCGGTCAAGCGATTGGTTGTAATTATCAATCAGACGACGTTTAACCAATGATATATCACCGGATAAAATTATCCCAAAGTTTAATTACAGATTTTTTTCCCCCTCTGTTCATTATCGATGCAATTATCAACCATAGACACCAATAGACTGGAGAATATGAGAATTGTCAACTTTACATATCTCTACGATCATCAAACTTAAGCAACGCCGTGCCTGGTCAGTACCAAATGGGTGATGTTTTTTGAATATCAGGTGCTCCAATAGGCGGTTGGCGTAATGGATGACAGCTTAGAATTGGAAATCGGAGTGCTCCAATTCCAGTTGGGTTCGTTGTTTTCATTACGCTGAAATATCTTTGGGAAATACGTGAAGCCAACACTTCTCCCCCATCTATAGGTTAATTAGTAAAACTCGTATCAGTAAATTATCTCCAAATATTTTTTACATTCTAAAAATATTCTCTAGCTTTAAATAACCTGCAAAAGTTTGATAATAAAAAAACAACCACTTCGTTTATCATCCTTTTCACACTCCTCCCCGGTCATTTGAACAGGAATAGAGGTTTATCCCTTGTAACGTCTGCCTAAACTCTGAATTTGTTTGCTTTTTGCTTTCTTTGAATAGGAGTAGATAGGTTCTTAATAGCAGTATCATTTCGATATGTTTGAGGATAATGGCTCTCCACAATTTCCTGTTTCATTGTAGCTCTTAATAAAGTTTATCTTTTTGTTATCTCTCTTAAACCATATTCCGCCATATGTTTACTCAAGCTCGCTAGGTTTTCCTCTTTCCCTCCTATATATCCTGTGAGTATCAAATTTCCCAAGTCTTCTTTCCTCATTATGTCTTCTATAAATTTCAATTGTTTCTTTCTAATGTTAAGTGTGTGCCCTTTTTTGCTTCCATTTTCTCTAAAATTTCGCCGTTGATCACATGATTCTCAGCATCCTTCTGTAGAACCAAATTCTCTTCTTCATCTGTGATCACACTGCTCATATAAGAGGACTGTTATTACGTAACAGTTCAGTACTCTTTTCTTTGTTTCAAACGAATTTTTCCTATTTCTTAATACTTTAACTTCGACCCTCCGGAGTTTACAAAAACACGAATAATATTACACTAGTTCGGTCCATGGCATTCTTAGTGACCTTTTGTACGGCCATATTTCTGTTGACTCAAGTTCTAAATTCTTCCTTGCACGGAGAAAAGAGAGACTCCTATACGTATATATATATATTTTAATACTTTGTCTAGTGGCTGAGTTAATTGTGTATCTTTTTACTGATGATTTTATATCTGATTGTTACAATGCTATTTTTAGTTTTGACTATTGTTACTCCGCTGCTAAGATGTTTCCTATTTTTCGTAATGATTCTTTTAAATTCAAAATAGAATTCAGTATCACCAATCTGTTTTACGTAGGTTCTCCGACAGCCATCATACGATTGCCAAACTCTATCGAACGTTTCTTTTAATATTGTAAAAGCATTGACCTCCCGCTTACCCAGGGATTCTCTTTTGTAAATAGCTTCTTTTTTTTTTATCTGCGTTCCTGTATTAAACATACGAACAACTGACAAAATAAGATAGTCGCTAAAAAGGTGTATGTAGCATTGTAGTCATATATGGGCGGGAATTGCTCAAATGTCCTTTTTCCAGTCATGATACAGTTCAAAAGCGTTTGCGCTGCTTTGTAGGTGATGATTTATCTTCCTCGCTACAAGACCTTTCCTACAGATATTATTTTTGTGAATTTATCGCTGCTTATTATTATTTACATCATTATCCTCATTATCCTTGCCATATTCACAAAGTTTCGGCCGTTGTACGCTGCGACCTTCTTCCGGTGATTGGAATTTAGAACCTAACCCTTTATTTCGCCCAGCAGGGTAGATTGTTCTTGTTCCACGTGCCATGCCTCTTCCGGATGTCTCAGTTATTTCCCTTTAACTCAACGCTCCATGTTTTGTTCACCACTGCTGGGGCCTGGTATTGAACTCACAACTCTTTGGTTCTAGTCACTAATCAACGTCTTCATCCAGTGGATAAAGACATTGGTTAGATCCAGTGACAATGCTAATGGTAGTATTAGCCGTTTCCTTATAAGGAAACATTCAGCATTCATTAACCGAGCAGCCAGTGCTATTCAGTTACGCTTTTATTCGGTCGTTGGACATTGGTATGGAATGAAAGCGTAGTACCTCTTCTTCTAATCTCTAATGGTAATAGAAATATTAGCCGTTTCCTTATAAGGAAACATTGATCGAGCAGCCAGAAATGATAACATCTTTCTTATAGGAAAATAGTTTTCTTAGTAGCGGCTGTCGCTCTTTCATATATTGATGGGAGTTTCCTTCCTAACCTTTTATTTGAAGTAGTGTGGAATATCAACATCTTTATTATGTTCTTATATTCTCTTCTCAAGCCCAGCAGCTGTTATCACTCTTTTCAATGTTGATGGGAGATGCTTTTCTAACCTTGAAGTTGTATGGAACGTCAACATGGTTATTATGTCCTTAATTTCTCTTTGAGTTATACATGCTATCAAATGATGTGGTTTCTGAGCAACCAGGACGAAAAACAAACTTTTGATACAGAAACAGGCAGTTAAATCTTACAGAGCATATAAGGAAACCGGGTGGAGAAATTAACACCCACAAGGCATATCGAAGGCAAGAGAGGTAACGAAAATCGCCAAGAAAGCTACTTAACAAGCATGTGCAAATTTATGAAGAATGCTGAAATTATTCGTGTATAATACGAACCCCTAATTTTGTGTTACAAAATTCTGGGCAATATGTTGTATATACTACGCACTGGTGTTTAGAATTTGTAGCGGTAAAAGTAAACCTATTTTATATTATGCATTGAAACACAAATGTTTGGACGGAGTGGTTCGAACAAAATGCAACTAGGTCGTGGCGAAACAAGCGTATAATTAATTAAAAACATACACACATTCCAGTCTAGGTATTTACTCTCTCTCTCTCGCCCCTAAGGCAAGTTGTGACACAAGATCTTTTTTTAAGGTGGGTCCCGAGCGCGTACACGCGGACAAGGAACAAAAATTGTCCGCAACCAGCGCAATCGTCGGTTGAGCAGGACACACATTCCAGCAGCATAAAATAAAAGTGGGCAGCAATAAAGATGACATTCTTCTTGAGGAAGAAGGACAAAATGGCTCCGTGAAAGACGATAAAATCTTCGAAAATGACGATGGTATCTACTACGCTGACAACACAGATGAAACTGTCCTAGCGTGTGTTTTTGACTCAGAAGCGAAATAACCTCAAATATGCTGTATATATATATATATATATATATATACTTGGGGCCGTCGATAGCTGTGCTAGCACGAAGTGATACGTCATCGTGACCGAAGGTTTGAGTGTGCTGGTGTTGTTAAGTTTGTTGATCATTCTAGATAACACGCTCTCTCCCAGAAACTGTAACTAAGGTCTGCTCAGCATAATTTCAGTATACACCACAGTTTGGCTCTGTGGATGTTGAACAAACCCAAATGTGCCTGAGCGAAATTCTGCAATAGGGATTGGCTAGCCACCCTAGTAAGCGGGTATCCTCGAATACGAGTGTCCAGCTATTATATATATATATATATATATATATATATATATATATATATATATATATAACGTTTCTTTTCCGTTTTATAGACAGTGAATTATTGTAAAGTCCTGGGAATATATTGGAGCGGTTTCTCAACGGTTTTGAATTCAAAGTTGACCTTCTCCTAGACTGATTGCCAACCAAGGCTTAGTAGCACAATGGACTCCGTCATTTTAACCATTGTTGGTTTTAATGTAATACTGTACAAGAAAAGGCTTATGATATGAGGCGCTTTCATCGTCGAAATATTCTTCATGATTTATAGTTCTACGAAAAAAAAAATAGTTACTCCACAAACAAGAAAATAAAAATCACTTGGCGACCCCTTTATGGGACCCTAGGCGAAATTTAATTAAAATCCAGTCCAGAGGGACGTTTCTTCAGGCTGCACTTCTGCCACAGAACTAAAAGGGGAAGGAATAACATCCATCTCTGATGCCTGAGACGCCCCAAAAGGGCAGTGCTGTGGAAACTGCACAATTTTTGTTAGTAATCCTCGGTACGCGAGGGATTCCCGCATTAAATACGGTTTTGTGCCATATTTCGTTCGATTGTGGCAAGCTAATAAATAGCAGCAAGTAAACATCGACATTTAATGCCATTTTGTCCCTCGCTTTTCCACGCCTTCACTTCACATTAGCCACAAGTCTTCCTAATTTTCGCTTCAACTTTCTCTCTTGACTTTATCACTCCCTCTTCTTCGTGTATCTTTGTAATTTTTCACTTTTTCTTAAATCCTTCTTTCTCTCTTTTATTTGCCTTCAGTTTTTACTCTCCGTCGTTTAGCGCTCTTCTCCTCTTAAATGCGTAATTTCCTCTTCTTGTTATTTTCTGAGATTCTCCCCTCTTTGTTGAGCATGTCTCTCTTTTTTTCAACTCCCTCACTCTCGCTTTTTAACTCCCTCACTGTCTCTATGCGACTTTTTCTCTCTCTCTCTCTCTCTCTCTCGCTCTCTCTCTCTCTCTTTCTAAATATTTGCCTTTTTCTTACTGAAACATATCAGCCCCAACTTTCTTACTCTACTTATATTTTGTTCTTCTCTTTTCTCTTTTGCTGAATTATTTTGCTGAATCTGTTGCTGAATCTTTTGCTGAATATTTTGTCCGTTTTTCTCTCTTTTGCTGAATTATTTTGCTGAATATTTTTAATATTTTCCTCAACATTTCGTTCTTCTTTTTTCACTCTGTCGCTGAATAATTTTGCTTAATAATTTGCTGAATATTTTGCTGAATAGTTTGCTGGATATTTTGCTGAATATTTTGTCCTCTTTTCTCTCCCTCTTTTCAATTGTCTCTATCTCTCTCTCTCACACACTAATTCTACTATCTTAAATATATTAGTTCTTCTATTTTTCCTTTCTATATTCTCAACTCCCTTTCTTGAATATTATCTCTTTTTTTATGTCCCCAATCTCACATTGGATGTGCGGGGAAGATAACGGTTGACAACCCAAAAAGAAGAATCTACGATCAGAGTTCGAATGTCGGTCGTGTTCGTTACGCACAAATAATCTTGCGAAAAGCATGAATCCAACTGCCCTGTCACTATTGGAACATGGGTTAAATGACAAAGATGACTGGGATCTCTTGCCTTGAGAAGAAACACCCAGGACTCAAAGCCAGCCTAAAGAACAATACGATCCTTAAGTCTGTTTGATCTAGACACACCATTGTTGTAATGGCTACAGTACATATGATGCCCCAACGACCCTAATGTGTTAAAGACACGAAACTTCACTGTCTCTCTTTGGCTCCCTCTCTCGCGTTTACTTCTTTTCTTTTTTCTTCTACTTCTTGGTTGGGTATTATATTTTCTCTCTATTTGTATTCCTTATCGATTTATATGCTAGTCCAGTGTTTCTCAACCTTTTTAAGCTACGGCCCACCCAGGAGAAAATGAAAATATCACGGCACACATAGCAAAATTTTCAAAGGGTATACATTTAAATCTTATGAAATAAAACCATGAGTTTTAAAATCATGCACATACACATTACTTACTTTATTTTTAAGGTTTCTATTTAACTACTTGTGCCTGGTGTTTTATTTTCTAAAATTTCTTCAGTGTTTTGTCGAATGTGCGATAAGCAGGCTCTCAGTTCTTCTTCAGTTGAGCGTAGTCTTTAGCGTTTCTTATTATTCTGCTGAGTATTTTTTTAATATTTTGCTGAAAATTTGATGAATATTTCGTCCTTCTCTTTTCTCTCTTTGGTTGAATAATTTTGCTTAATAATTTGTTGAATAGTTTGCTGAATATTTTGTCCTCTTTTCTCTCCCTCTTTTCAATCCCTTATTGTCTCTATCTCTCTCCCACGCACTAATTCTGCTCTCTTAAATATATTAGTTCTTCTATTATTTCCTTTCTATAGTCTCAACTCCCTTTCTTGAATATTAACTCTTTTTTAATGTCCTCTTTCTTACATTGGAACCTTTTGTAATACCAATCCTCCTGTATGGCCGATGATACTGGACAGTCTCCCAGATGAAGATAAACTAGAGGCCTTTTTAGCTAATGCGGAATAATCCTTGTGTATTGAAAATGTATCAATGGGTACCGTCGAATGTTTTATTTTGAACCCTCAATCCCTAGAATTGGTGACTAATTCTTCTTCTTCACATATCTGATGTTCCGTCTTAGAAGGAATATCATCGTGAAAAAACAATTTGAAATTAAATTATAATACTTATTCATTTATTCAAATAATAACACTGTACAATTACTACAATGGATATTATCTTTTCTCTGTATTTGTATTTTTCAACTCTCCGACTGTTTATCTTCTTTTGACTCTCTCTAATTCTTTGGTTTTTTGTCTCACTCTTTCTCTCCCTGTCTACTTCCTCTCTTAGATATTATCTCTCTTTCATTTTTCTTTCTCATCTCACTCCCTCGTCGCCTTTAACTCTTTCTTTCACTCTTACCACTTGTACATTTTTATTTCTCTTTAAGTCATTAACACACCAGTCCCTGCTGTCTTCTGCTTCCACACACACACACACACACAGAAATATATATATATATATATATATATATATATAAGTGAACATTGCAGTCAACACTTAGAGGTGACAGTCTGCTTAATATTCGAGATAGAGCGTGTGTAAATATAAAAGTGAACATTAAAGTCAACACTTAGAGGCGACAGTCTGTTTCATGCTAGACGCAATCGTCAGGCCCATAAATATAGCACACCTTAAGACTATATTTCTTCATATTTATATATATATATATATGTGTGTGTGTGTGTGTGTATGTGTGTGTGTGTGTGTGTGTGTGTGTGTGTGTGTGTGTGTGTGTGTGTGTGTGTGTGTGTGTGCTGTGACAACATTTCGTGGCATACTTAAGAGGATCGATCTGTATCCTAGTGTGCCGTGGCACACCGGTTGAGAATCACTGCTCTAGATACACCACTCTGGTAATGGCTGCAGTACATATAGTGCCCCAACGATCCTAATAGTAATGGTACACGTGACATAAGGATCTCTCGTTTACACCCTCTCCTGCTGCTTACACTTTTTTTCTTTCTTTCTTTCTTCTACCCCTTCGATAGATATTATCTTTCCTCTCTATTTGTATTCTTCAACTTTCCCACTGTTTATCTTCCTTTGACTCTCTCTAATTCTTTGGCTTTTTGTCTCTCTCTTTCCCCCCACTGTCTTCCTCTCTTAGATATTATCTCTCTTTCATTTTTCTCTCTCATCTCACGCCCTCGTCGCCTTTAACTCTTTTTTTCACTCTTACCACTTGTACATTTTTATTTCTCTTTAAGTCATTAACACGCCAGTCCCTGCTTTCATTGCTGTCTTCTGCTTCTCGCTTGCAAAACAAGCTTCGAAATTTATGCTATCTTACGGAAATGGCCTGATATTCGGAAGTACGTAAATATATGCTTAGTTATTGCATCAATACAAAATGAAAGCTCGGCAGATCCTTATCTAAATACGTGCATTCACTTTCACGCATTTTTATTGGTGTATTTAATTGATTCTCAAAATAATTGACATTCAGACACACGCACATAATAGCCTAGGTATTAGTGGACCTATAATTATAGCGATAACCGGAAATGCAAAAATAAATTAGCTATAAACTTATCAATGCATCTATAGTGTTGATTCGAGATAAAGAGATAGCAAACGTAGCAAACGGGGTTCGATTTCCAGCTGAGGCAGGATTTCTTTCCATTCATTCCTTTTCTATTCTTCAGTTTTTCTTTCTTTCTTTTTCGTTCTTTTGTTTTCCTTCCTTTTTTTTCTTTTCTTTTTCGATCTCTTCATATTTAATTTGTAATTCTTTCATTTTCTAATTCATTTTTCTTTCTTTCTTTCTCCTTTGGGAAAGGCATGAAACGACCTTGTTGCATTACATATATTCCTTTTTTTATCGCTCTATCCTCGTTTTATTCGAAGAGTGTAAATTTTTACAATGTTCTAATTTCTAAGCTATTTTCTTAATAAAAATCATGCCCATAATTTTAGGATCTAAGGAAAATTTCATTAGAAAAAAAATTTAAAAAGCGGGCTGAACCATTCTGTAATAACAATCTTCCTGTACAGGCGAGACAGTCCCCCAGATGAAGAGAAACTAGAGGCAACAGAGAGATGTATATATATATATATATATATATATATATATATATATATATATGTATGTATTTTATCATACAGTCTCAGTTACGATGGACTGGTCATGTCTTGAGAATGTCTGATGACAGGATACCCAAGACCCTAATATACAGCCAGTTAGATCAGGGCTACAGGAATGTAGAACGCCCATGGCTAAGATACAAAGACAAGCTGAAAAGCAACTTGTCAGCCGTTAATATACCACATAACACCCTTGAGCGCTTAGCCTTGGAGCGGGTAGAATGGAGATCAACGTGTTTTAGTGGACTCAGCAATTTTCAATCTGCTTGCCTGAATCATCTTCAAGAAGCGAGGATCTAATAGGTCAGCCAATCTAACAGTGATCTCATCTTACAATCCTCATACTTGCTCCTTTGTAAATCACTAGCATGTCTTAAATGCCACTTAAGATTATGATTATCGCACAAACTTTCATAACTGAATCAATAAGCTGTCGGATCCTCATAAGAAGAAAAAACAGGAGAGTCCATTATTGTTATATATATATATATATATATATATATATATATATATATATATATATATATATGTGTGTGTGTGTGTGTGTGTGTGTGTGTATGTATATATATATATATATATATATATATATGAATAAATATATAATTTACCGGCCTGAATTTTCGAGAAATTGTCATAGAAAATATGCGTCCTCCGACAGGAATCAAACCTGTATACTATACGAAACCGTCATATAGCCTGACGTGCTTTTGTCGATTTCGCCACAGAGGAGCGTTTCGATTAACAAAGTCGATTTTATTGTTTTTAAACTATAATTTTCCATGATTTTCTTACGTACATTCATATCTGCTCGATGCGTATCCAAATGTAAACAAAAGACGTCACACATTATGAAATGGAGAAAGTCCGACAATTATTTTAATACATTTTTATGTTTACATTCTTTTTTATAGATACAAATATTTAAGTAAATGCTCTGTTTATAATATATATATATATATATATATATTTGTTTTTATTTCAAACTTACTGCTTTGTTATACGTAATAACTCCTGTTAATTACGACTGCACTTGCTCATATAAGTTGCCCAATTAAATTAGATATAGTTTAGATAATAAATGACTACATTTAGTAATTTAATTAGATATTAGTCATGTTTACTATGACTATCTTTCTTATCTAATTACTTTACTAATACGTACTGTATTACGTACGTAATATGTAGATATTTACTAAATTTAAATGAGACAGACACTAGTTCAGCTGTAGAGTCAGAAGACAGTTACACTAATAATGCAAAGAAATTGTGTCTACAATAACCCTCTACATTGAGTCGCTCTTGTATTAGGTGGATAAAAACATCATGGAAATTAGATTCCAAATCCTGGTTTTTACGTCGCTATTAACATCAACCGCTGACGATTGTAGAGCAATAACGTTACTTTTTTCGACACTAGGCTGCGCATTGAAATTTCTCTGATATAATCCTGGTGTTAGTTAATCTGCTTAGTATTTTTAAACATTGCGTTTCGACTAAGAAAGAAACTGTATTTTTAATAAAAAAAAAACAAAATAGGCGAAATGCACATTTTCAATTTGTTTGGTTTTATCATTTTTCTATTTAAATAATTACAGACTAAATTTTATTGCCAAATATTCCGTCTTTCTTTCAAATTAACGCTCGTTATTTTTACATACATCTATTTTCATTTTTCTTTCCTTTTGTTTTTTCCTCTCTATCTTGTATTTATACATTTATTTATTCTTTCTTTCTTTATGATATTTCTCTTCTGACCAATATTTCTGATATTTTACAGACTAATCTTTTTTTTCTTTTTTTATTTCTTTTTGTTATATTTCTTTTTTTTTTCTTTTTCTTTTCTTTCTGACGTCACCGTGTTTTTCATTTTCTTTCTTTTACTTTGCTCTTGCTTGTCATCTTGACTTTCCTTTTTGCTGGTTTGCTTTATTTTTCTTTTTCTTTTCTTTCTTTCTTTCGTATATTCATTCATTCTTACTTTCATTCTTTCTTTCACATCATTATTTATTTGCTTATTTCATTTTCTACTAATTTACATTTATTTTGACAATTTTCCGTTTACTTTCTTTCAATTTTTTTCTTATTTTTTTCTTTCCTTTCTTTTTTTCAAACTTTTCCTTTCCTGTCTTTTTCATTTTTCTTTCTTTCTTTTCGTTCATTCTCTCTTTATTTAGTTTTTTGCTCTTTCTCTTTTCGTTAATGCTCTCTTTATTTCTTTATTTGTCCTTTATTTTCTTTTTCTTTTTCTTTTTTTTTCGTTCTTTCTTTATTTCTTGTTCGTTCTTTATTTTTTCGTTCTTTTGTTTTCAATCCTTTTTTCTTTCTTTTTCACTCTTTTTCTACTTAATTTTTTTTCCTTTATTCTTTTTCATTTTCATTTATTTTCTCCTTTCTTTCTTCTTCCCTTCTTACTGTCCTTTTTCTTTCTTTCTTTCTTTCTTCATTTGTATTAATATCTTTCCTATCATTCTTTCTTTCTTTCTTTCTTTCTTTTTGTTCTAACCTTTCCTTTCTCTCGTTTTTCTTCTTTCTTTTCAATCTCTCCTCTTCCTTTTAATGTTTCCATTTAAAAAAAAAACTATCTGATCTTCTATGTTAACATTAAGAATATTTTTCTTTTTCTTGACATTCTGTTGAGTCGCCAATTGAATCTCTCTATGTAAATTCTTTGTTTGTCTTTCACCTTCCCAGCGTCTTTGGCGCTATTCTTCTCCGACTTCTTCCTCTCAGCGTTTCAGATTCTTAATAAAAGAACACTGAAGCCAATGGAAAGAGAAACCCGCAAAAAACAGCTGAAAAAAAAAAGAAATCTATTTTAATTTCAGATTATTCTGTATAATTTTCAATCGTTTTTGCTCCATGTTTCTGTCTTTACCGATTCCATTCAATAATTCTTCGGACAGTTCATTTATGATTTCACTTTCTTCATATTTTATTCATTTCCATTCTTCTATTCATATTCTCAACGGCTTTTTTAAACGAATGTAAACACAAATCAGTGTTTGAAAGTAAACACATCATCGTAGGAACATCGACATGTGAATAGCAAGAGTTATTCACACACACACGCAAATGTATATATATGTACATGTGAAGAATAATTTTATATATATATATATATATATATATATATATAAAGAGAAGGAGAAAGAGACGGAGGGATATATAGACAAGGAAAGAGAGAGAGAAATGTACAGAAAATGCGGACGAAGATCTTGAAGAACTTGATATTCAGGATTCATTGCAAGTCTGTTTGAATAGGAGCCAATATTCGCAAATAAACCACAATTATAAAACTTTCAACAAATCAACAGAAATACTAAATCACACACATATATATATATATATATATATATATATATATATGTATGTATGTATGTATGGGTGTTAGTGGGATGTAGAATAATATCTGATAAAAAAAAACGTGAGAATCGCTGGAGTCTACTGCATATCAACATTTTGAAGGCCACTAGTAGTTCACAGTAAGACATCTTGACCAATCGTTTTAGAAGGGAAAAGAATTCGCTAAGAAGAATATTGAAAGTGCACTGATTTCCTAATTCTCTACGGGCTCACATTCAGTATCACTGAGCATCACAAAAGGAACAGAAGCACCAGGCGGCATATGAAATATGTTCAAACCCAGCAGACGATAACGGCTTCATTATGAAAAACACACACACACACACACACACACACACACACATATATATATATATATATATATATATATATATATATCATGTTCATATGAACGTAATCTTTCAACGGTTTATCCACGAATCTCATTTGAATGTGTAACATTTGAATATGAGAAAAATACGATAAACAGTAAGACTGACCAAGATGTTTCATTCCAACAAAACTTTAAAAAATAATTCTGGTTGCTTAAAGATAGATAGATAGATTATTATATTGTTATTTATTACCAGAAAATATTTTTTTAGATTATAATATTTGTTAGTGATAATAATTCTTTACTTATATAAGTCCAGTTAATTAACCCATTGTTGGGGTGGAGAAAATGTGGGTTCATGCCTTTCCCAAGGGTATTTGCGCATAAGTGAATATAACGA